AAAAAAAAAAAAAAAAAAAAAGGACCCATTCGGGCCCCACTCATGATTTCAGCAGTCGTGCAAGGCAGCATGGTCAGAGGGGCAAGGTTTAAGGGGCCGTCTCGCGCCCTGTCCCTTGAGAACAACTTAGCGGCTCTTGACAACCCAGTTAAGCACTTCCACGTTTGCCATCATAAATCTTTCATCGACCGAAATGAGTCACCGTCACTCAATGTCCCATTTGAACTTTGCCCCCCCCCCCGCCCCCCCTTTAGGACATGACCTATCTTTGTCGAGCTGCGGCTCATCATAGGAAGCAAAACCAGGAAGTAGGAGAGCCGTCATTTTCAGATTTCAAATCATCCATACCTGCGTTTCTCTTCACGTCGTTGCACTGGAAAAAAAAAAAAAAGGGTGTGTTGAATTTACTCATATTTTGTGCAAATATTTCCAAAGGCAAATGTCATTCGCAACGAAAACTTACTTGAAGTCAAGATGACTTGATCAGCTCTTTTTGTCGGATTTGCAGGATTCAGTTTTTAGAGAGAGAGAGCGACCTTCTTATCCACAAGTCCAGGCTGAAAGGAGAAGGCTTCTTGTCCACCGGTGAGTGCGAGCACGAATGACGAAGACGTGGTTACGATGTGAAAGCAGGTTGCCGTAATCGCCTGCCAGATCTCATTTTCGACCCAGGAAATGGAGGCCGGACGACTCGAGCCCGCAGTTCAGCGAAGCCAGGGACTGCACCAAAATACTTGGACAAAAATGTTTCCAATTTCTTTACGTGTTGATGTTTCAAAAGGTTTGCCTGTGTTCCAAGTATGCGGGAGCGCCATTCTTACATTAAAGCTATTTATTCTTCTTACTTTTTGTTTTTGCGGTGTCTTTATTTTACGTGTTTGAATATGGTCGAGTTTGGGTTGTAACTGGACGACATTGCCACAAATTTGGGGAAACCGTTTGAGCAGGGGTGGAGCACAAACAGTTTCGTTGGAGGGCCGCATACGCCCAAAAAAATGGAAGGGCCACTTGAAATGTGGTCAACTTTTTGAAAGACGCTACAGCCGCTCAAGAAAGCAATTTGATATTGTTTGGATTGTCTCAGGCAAATAGTTGAATATTTTTCCATGTTTTGGGGTGGCCAACAGCCCTCTCTCTCACAGAATAGTTCCAGCTCTGCACTTAACAGCAGGTGAATCCCATCTCCACATCAAGAACCGAGAAAAAAAGAAAGCAAGAACTGTCGTCAGGTGAGCATTTTTCAGTGACTTGAAGACCATGACTGTGATGCCTTCATCAATCAGCCATAAAGTGAAAGAAACTATTTTTGCCTCCAAAATGGAATCCTCTTTTATTCACTACAGTGATTCAAAGATAAATGGTGCTGTTCTTTTCATCATAAACGGTTTATGGCCAGTCAAGCTTTTCACCAAGAAAACATATTTGGAGCAAAGTGTGCAAGTTGCAGCATTCTCTTCCTGTATGGTGCGTGCCATTTAATTAATACCAACAAAAAAAAAAAAAAAAGAAAATAGTGGATGATTGATGGATGGATGGATTACTGTATTATATTTTGCATTATTATTACTATTGTATCAAGAAAATATATATGTTATCATATTAAATATACAGCAACACTATGAATACTCTTGTTGCACTTTTGGTTGCACATTACATGGTAACAAATAAATACATAAATAAAGAAATGAAGAAAGTCCTTATCTGAAGAGAGTGACGAAGTTTTGTTTCAGAAAATTAATGTTCCACATGTGTAGAGGTGCACACCGCAGGGGTTTCCCGCGCCATGTGTCACCCAAGCAGCAGCCGCTATTGCGAGTCTTTTTGACTTATTTATTTACTTTTAGCATTTATTCGTTTTTTTTTTCTAAGCAGTGTCCAATTCATTGCTCCTTAATCCTCACTTGCGAGACTTTTCGGCGCACCGAAGCAAGACCGCGCCAACCGGCACCCACTTGTCAACTCGCGTCACAAGCATGTGGCCGGACCGACTTTTTATTAGTAAATGGAATGCCGTAGTATTCAAGAGTCGTTGTACGAGTTCCACAAGTGATGACAAAGAGCGCACTAGTGGGATGAGAAAGAAGAAGAAGAAGAAGAAGCTTGAAGCGAGACTGTCATCGCGGCAGCGGCACTTGCGCCTCATCCTCTGGCCCCGCCCCTCGGCACGAGATGCGCCACATTTAAGCGGCGCCACCGGGA